TTTAATATTTAATTATATATGACGACCGGCGATTAGAGGCATCGACTTGTACGCGATAACACGTGACAACTTATAATTGTCCAGGGTCTAGCCTCGTCAAGGAAGTCGTGTTTTCAATGTTAAATTTCTACAAGTATTTCGAAGTCGGAAAATAAAACACACACTTATGTGGAAGGGAAAAAAACGAAGAAACGATTTTATGTTCTCAAGCAAGCTTGGTTACTGTGAAACTGTGAAAATAACAAAAGATTACAGAAACAATTCTAATTTCAATTTTTTCAATGTTTGTCGCCAGAGACATGTTACAGGAACAATGTGCATACATTTTTAAGACCAAAAAAGTTTGATAGCCACAAGTTTTATTGTTATTCCCAAAACCACCGCAACTCCAATTCCGTCTCAATAAATATATAAACAATTTGCTCCAAAACTAAGGCCTATTTTTTGTATATTTAAATCTTATTCATTTATTATCCATAATGCATACAAAAAGGGCTCACAAACTTTTCAAAAGTCCTCACGAATTCAACTGGTAAGACATACAAATATAATATTATATAATATAATATGGTAATAAAATTCTTCCGTGCATAAATTTTTTGCCGATGCAGGTCGGAGAACCAGTAGTAATTAAATACGCGCCGAATGGATAAAATATGCAAGTAACGTCACATGCTCAGACGTTTGAATAATTTACTTTTTTTATCACATCACCGTGGTTACTGATAAATTGCAATCGGCGCTACCAAAACTTTACATGTACGTGTATATAATTATGTACACATACAATTAGGTATATCTGTATGTGTACATATACGTACACATAATATACATTAAAAATACCTGCTCACAAAACAAAATTTATGGCTAAGTCCTTTATGGTTCAAGGTGCGAAATTATGGAATGCCCTACCTCTGGAGGTGAGACGTGCTCAATCACTTTCCACTTTTAAAAACCTTGTCAAGAGTCACTATTTGTCACATATAGATACAGAATGTATTAACTATGTTTATGGATATACGTATATATATATATAGTTATTTATGTACTCATTTATCTATTTATTTATTTATTTTATACAACAAAGAATGTATTTATCTTATAAAATTTATAGAATTTTACCCACACCCCTAAAATATTCTTTTTATATTATGTCCATCCAAAGGTTGCCTGGAAGAAATTGCTTTAAGTAATAAGGCCGCACATTGTACAACCCTTACATAATTGTTATTTTTAATGTATTCTTTTTACCATGGTGTGTGCAATAAAGAATATTCATTCAATAGCAAATTGCCGTTCTTCAATACTGGCCATTACAAACAAAAAAAAGTTTTAATTAGCTGTGAATTCCAAATGCAAATCAATTTTGTTTTAGGAACATCAAATTCTTTTTAAAAAGTCAGTCTTTTGTTTATTGATAAGCTTTGTATTTTCATTACATTTGAAAATTTTTCGTGATAATGGATACTTTAAAAATTTATGTTATTATGGAATGAAATGAGCACGTGGCACAAACGGCACGTACTCGTAACATCAACAACAACATTTACGGAGAGAACTTTTCAAAGGAACGCACAACCTGTTATTGGTTTGCCCGGTTCCGTTTGGGAAATTTCGACCTGAGAAACGAACCTCGAGGTCATCCAGACTCTTTGGTCAACAATTACGAATTAAAGGCGATTGTGGAATCTGATCATACTCAATCTTATTAACAATGTTATTATCAAATCAATATTGGTCCATTTGCGACAAATTTGCAAAGTAACAAAGCTTTATATAGAGGGGTGCCTCCAGATCTTAACGTTGGCCAGCGCAAGACTTAAGGAGTTATACTTCTTTTGCGTAAAGACATTAAATCCAATTGATAACGGTTTATAATAATTTGGAATTATTGGTGCATGTCAAAACACTTTTAGAGGGTCGGTTTCATTGACATCATTATCAAATTTGTATCCTGTCATTAAGTACGCATATTATAAATAGTATATTACTACATTATCGTAGCGTTCGATTGTAAATTTATTCCCGACATTTTAGACTTCCACGGTAGATATTGTCTATCCCGTGGCTATAACAAACGTTAATAGTAGAAAGTAGATATTTTCGACAGTTCTTGCACGCACCTAACTAAGCCAATGACATTGACAACTAAAATGTCTACAAAGGCTATAAAAAAGTTGTAAAATCGTAGTTTTAATGAATGATTAACTCGATTTCAGTCCGTTGGCTTTCATCGAACCGATCTTAGAATAGCCAAATTGTTGTAACGAACAAATTCCCGAACAGCTAGATTTACAAGAGAATAATTAAATAACTAACAAATCGGACTAAGGACTGAGATATTTTTTGTAAAAATACATTTCGGCGCAAAAATCCGCCATTTTCATTTTTATACCTTTAATGTACCCAGTGACAGACGCGCTATAAAGACGAATATGACATATCATTCATTGTAACCGGTTGAACAGTTGAGTAGTTACGAGTGAACATTTGCACAGACGTTTAAAATACATAGTATGTACGTCTATGTCCATACATAAAGAAAAGAACCTACCCCTCTTTTGGCTTCGCCGCAGTCGGGTAAGAGTTTAAAAAGGCATGATAGCTAAACAATTTAAATGACGTATATCATTTTTGTGATAATAATATACATAGTTGGATTCTGTTGTTCTTTTTATCACTTCAAAACTATAACTTTAAGTTTTCCTTAATAATTTAGTCATATAGGGCAATAAGCTGCTTGCAGGCAATATCTTTATCAAGGAATGCCGTCCAAGTTAGATTAATAACTAACTCTGCCGAATTGCCATTCTATCAAAAATATGGCAATACTAGATTTATTGCCATAAAGTGATTGAGAGCTAATGTATAATTTGACCGACACATAATTTACAGTCGACAATTAGTAAATGCTTTAAAAATATAAACCGTTGGAGTATAATTGGACGATCCGATTGGCGTGGGGAGTAGTGACCCACACGCCAGAGGGTGTGGGTTCGATCCCCACTACTGGAAAAATATTGTGTGATGAACATCGTACTTTTCCAGTGTCTAGGTGTTTATATCTGTATAATATGTATTTATTTACAAAAGAAAAGTATGTTTAAGTATGTTTATCAGTTTCTCTGGTACCCATAGTACAAGCTTTGCTTAGTTTGGGATAGAGAACGTTGTGTAAAAGATGTGTCCGATATATTATTGTCCGATAATAAATAATATATATAAATAACCATGAATATATAGATAAACATGCATACGCCAAGAGGTAAAATAGAACAATGATAAGACTTTTCATTTATTTTTCGACGCGATTTAAAACTGGCCAGTTATATGAAACCACAGATAATAATGTTAAAAGGGCTTTGCACGAAAAAGACACGTCTGTATTTATTAAGTAAATATGTCTATCAGTTACAATTACGCTTAATTGCTTCTAGGGATATTAAATAATCTGTGAGGGATATTAAAGGTTAAAGTACACGATGACGGCAACACTACAAATCGGTGTACTTTTGAACCTTAGTCATTGTTACTCAATTAATTATTTATGAACAATCTTTATATTTTATTTGTGGTTTCATGTCGTGAATTATTAAATTAATAGTGATTCAAAAAGAGTACATAAACAAATTACTTCTTTGGCACATTGAAAAAAAATATTTTCTACTTCTGTCACTTCGAATCAAACATGGCACAAAATAACATTAGGTGCTTATTTTTTTTATTTCATCGCGAATATCGTTATTATAACTAATGAAATTATTAATCACAATCATTAATATAAAACATGAATAGGATTTTACGTTATACTTGACAGCGTAATAGCTAGATGTCAAGGGACCCAATAGTTTGACTTTTTTTTGTATTACATATTATAGACTCTGTGATGAGCTGGTGGCACAGTTGCTCAGCTTTTGCCTTGAACGTTACAGGTCATGGGTTCGATTCCCACGAGTATTTGTATGATCCACGGATAATTGTTCTCGAACCCACGACCTTAGAATGCCTTGGATTGCCGCTAAACCACCGGCTGCTGCCCAATTCATATTTGAAAACTCATGTTAAATGATACGAGTACATACGCTCAACTGTACCAAAGACGTCAACGGCCGATAGGAAAGTGATTTATTTGTTTTGATTCTAAGTTATTCTGTTTTTAATATAATTCAACAAATAAAACTTAGGTTTTTAAATTAATTATAAAGAAATGACCACGGAAATGTACGAATTTAAGAATTAAAAGTAATATTATTTTTACAGATATAAACATTTTTGGGTGATTATGATAATCAGCCTTTTTGTGTTAGGATTACCCGTAACAACAATCAACTAAGACAATGGTAATGAGATATCATTATCAAACGCGCGTTGTCGACCTGGCAACAAATCTGCGTTGATAGATTTAATATATTCATAATAACAAAATATAAAACATCATGATTTCGTCCCTTCATTACCTTAAACATTTCGTAGTAAGCGAAATTAATTTATAAATCGAAACATTCTACCAAAAGTCATAAGAATAGTCAATTTGAATTTATTAAGCAAGCATAATCAACATATTCACAATTCGCTAATTTTGTGACTGTTTTTTGTATTTTAAAAGTTCGAGTGGTATTTAGAATAGGCTTATCTAAATTATCAAGACGACATTAAGAATGTACCTATTACTCGTTATATGTAATATTTGATATATAATTGAAAATAACGAGTAATAGGTACATTCTTAAATACAATACTCAGCTGATATTTTAGTGTAAAATTGTGATTCTAACATATACTAGCGACCCGCCCCGGCTTCGCACGGGTGCAATGTTTTATACATATAAATCTTCCTCTTGAATCACTCTATCTAGTAAAAAAACCGCATCAAGATCCGTTGCGTAGTTTTAAAGATCTAAGCATACATAGGGACAGACAGACAGCGGGACGACTTTGTTTTATACTATGTAGTGATAGTGATGAATTTAAAAGTGTAGTATTTACGGATGGAAACTTACTGTTCTTCCTTCCTTCGTGCACTCTGTATGTCAGGTCGGTGAAAGCCAGGTCCACGGGCGGCCGCTTGGGTAGGTGCGTCAGGGTTTTGTGCTGAGCCGGGGTGATGGTCACCTTCAGGCTCCCCTTCCTGTCAGAGAGAATGGGCTTAGTGTCCACGGGGCCCGCGAGGCTCGTATCTTTGTCCACTTTCATCTTGTACAAACACAATGGCCACAGGTATCAAACTATCGCGCCCTACGTCACAAAGGAATGTGTAATGGCGGCGGCGCGAAATGTCCGAATCGCCGCGTGTTCGCGCACTGACTGACTGTGACTCGAACGAATCTCGATTACGATTCATTTGACAAACATCGCTCTCCCCGCTCTACTCCGCGAGAGAGAAGCGATGTAGTGACGTCACTGTAAGCGTTGAACTTTGCGCTGGCCCTGTCGTTTTGTTCAAAACAAACTTGCTTAAGATTCTGAACCTTGTTGTTTTTTTTAATTACGCCTTTTTTTGTCAACCAGAACGCACATTATTTGTGCAGATAAGAACGAAATGGCTGAACTTCTGGTTCCGCACAAACAACCGGTCGAACAGGAAAAATGAGATTATTGAAAATTATTAAGGCCTATTAAGAAAACAGGCATTGTAATATTTTAACAAACATTGTTGTCTCCTTTGAATATTTTAATCCAATTTAAAAATAGAAAATATTTATGTAAATTCATAAAAGGGGAACAGTAAGTTTAACATAATTATAATATGCTAAAAGTAAATTAACATACATTTATCAAAATGTCATAATATAATTTTTAATAGAAAATGAAGACAGTAATGACCGAAGTTGGTAATAGTGAAATGTTACTAAATTTAGCTCAGCAGAAATATTACAATTTGTTAAAGATGCACAAACATAAATAAGATATTGTATAATTGTGCCACTGAATAAAGATAAATTTAGGAGAGATTTTCCATGAAATATACCGTTGTATATCACTGACTTTCTTAATAACTATTAAATATTTTATAAATGGGTTATGAAGTGGTTTTACTATAATGATTTCAAAAACTTTAGAGTTAAAATGAATTTTTAATACTTTAGATTAAAAAAAATAAAACGATTTGACTATAAAACAGAAAAAGAAATGAATGTGAAAAAAAAAAAAGATAGGAATGAAATGAATGGGCATACTTATAACATATTTAGGAGAAAGGTATTTTATATCATACACTTAGATATAAAAAGAGGATTCTGTGACAAAATGGAAAAACAACAGAACTTTCTAATTGACAACAAATTATTACAATAACCATTTTTAATCAAAAACAAAGAAAAAAGTAAAGAGTACAGAAAAAAAGCATACTAAACATTCTGAACAATGAAAAATACATAATCATATTTTAAAAAGAGGTCAAACGAGATGTCTACGTTGTGAATCGCGTACTCGATATTGTTTACTAAAATAATTATTCTATTACCTTAAATTGTTAAGAATATATACGTTATCCATATCCACGGTTGTTAATACATAACAGCTTCAAAATAGTTATGTTTAATAATAACGTAATAATGTATACAAAATTAATTATACAACAAACATGAAATCGGACACAAGCAAAAGTAAATATTATTCAATATTCATCTATAATCTGTGTGTGCTGTCAAACTTCCACAAGTGGGTTGCCAAATTATGGCAAATGTGTTAAAAAATTATCGTTATCATACTTCTTTTAACTAAGTAACATTTAATTTCTATTCCAATAAACGTTTCAGTAATTTTTTTAAAGTAATGAGGAAATAACAATCATAGGTTTTTTTTTAAGAATTGATTTGTAATACCTTAAAATAATTATTTTATAATATACTGTATAGATTGATAAATTTTGTTTGTAATTATCATTATGTCCTACATTACATCACATCATAATTTCTATTAAAACATATTCGGTTAAAAAATATACCTATGTAATCTGTATGTCTCTCATTGTCATTGACTTCTTTTAAAATTGATAAAAAAAATCAAAACACAAAATCAAACCAGGCGCCTATTACGTATACGTAAAAATTGTTTTTAATCCGAATATACGAGTCGAAGTTCATTGATTATCACATTATCGGACCAAGTAATGAAACAGTAGATAATTGGATTGCCAAAGTTATAAATGGAGAGCGTGACAGTGATTATACCTGCTTTATAGAATTAATATTTGTTTTTATCTAGTATAGCTGTTCATAATGGTTTTACCGTTTCAGAATTTTTCTGTATCCTTAATAAAGGGATTTATAGATAGCCTGCGTGGTGTAACTGTGCTTTTATACCTTGATAAAGAAATAAACGAGCGAGCCCTTAGTCGTTCACCACAAAAAGATTCTGAAAACACCAAACATAAACAGAAACACACGAAAGTCAAACAGTAAGTTTTTATATTCCTTTGTTATCGTATTTTCTTTAGGCCTCAAAAATTCAAGTTTGTGATCGCTTTAGGATAATATAATAAAATATTAACATAAGGACATTCTAGTTAGAAATATAATAACACTTGGTAAGAAAATAAAATTAATAAGGAATGAAATTAAAAACTTTAAATTGACAACACACTTCCCACATGATAGAATTCTATTTCTAATCAAAAATAATGAAGACTAAGTGCCAATTTTCTTGACCTTGTTAAAAGTTTGATTATTGTGCAGCTTTTAATTTGATATTATTTTTGTAACATGTTGATTTCACTGTTATAATAAAAAGTTTCTTTCTTATAAAATAAGCAGTGTTCAGTTATACAATTATTGGGGGTTGGGTTTTGTATGGAGTCGCCCGAATTTGAGTAACTGTAAGTTTGGGGGTTAAGGAGGTTCGTACCAAGCACTCTTATGCTTTTTTTTCTGTTGGAGATGCATAAAAAATTTAAAAATCTTACTAAACGTGAAATGGAACGTAATTTTGTAGTGTTTTCAAAGATGTGAATAATAAAAAAAATTTAAACAATAGAGAAAAATCACTAATGAATTAATCAACAAGCATAATTCTCTGGTCGCATTCAGTTTACGAGAATAAAAAATATATTTTATTTATGTTATTATTAAAGCTTCATTGAAGACAGAACCCACAAACTTGATATGTTTTAACATTAATTTACTACTACACTTATGTTAAAGTGGGATTTTTTTAAATGATTTTAAGGTGTTAATAATAACAAAATAATAAAATCTCCCTTTGTTGTTTTTGCATTGTACTTTTTAACTTTATTTTCTACACCAAAGATAATATAGAATTATAGTTTATAACATCTAAAAGCAAATGCAAAATTATAGCTGAAGACGGCATTAAAATTTGAATAAAACATGGTGTTACAGCGCCATATCATTAATTCTATAAAGAATTAATACATGGTTATTAGTGTTAATACATTGTTATTTAGCTTGGAATATTGTGGGTTCAAATTCAATATAGCATTTGAACGCACAATATTTGTAAGATTAATAGAAACTAAATTTATTATTTAAAGAGCTATGCAAGTTCAGTGGAAAATGTTAATTCCTGCCCAAACCTTTTATGTGACAGACTAGAGTATTCACTTTTGCTCATACTTGTATGCTAATATAAATTTACTGTAAGAGTTTTTTTATGACATATTTTATAGAAGTAATAATGTAATTTTTTTTTAATATTGTAATCAATTGTGATTTTAAAATTCTGGACTTTGTAGTAGCAAGCAACAGTGAGGTTCTATTAGAGGTCAAACATATATCAGTGACTAGAAAAAATTACCATTAATTTGCATATTCAAATAAAGCACATTCAACCTATGCATATATTGTTTTTTACATTGTTGCTATATAACACTTGGATTTTTAATTTATACTTCCAACAGAAACATGTATAATTAGATATTAAAATTTATTGATGTAACTGCAATTGCTGTCTGGGAAAAATTATTACTATTCTTATTCTATTGCAATTGAAAGGTTTCTGAGATGAGAACAATGAATTGGCTTCTTCAATCATACTTAAATCATTTACAAAAATCCAAAATTTGCTAAATATTAGAAATCCAGAAAATCAAAAGCTTACCTGAAAACTACATTGTCTCTCTTTGGTAAACAGTTAAACCAAACAATAGACTTAATTCTCATTTATTTTTTGGCCATATGGAAGTGAAATAACTAATATATGAAATGATATCTGATAACGCATAATGGCTTTAACAATTCATTGTTTCAGGGAATCAAAAGTACTTACAAGGGTCTTACAATCATGTATATTAAATGGTTTTATATTTCTGCTGAGCATTCTCGTTTTCGAGTATGCTTTGTTGCCAGCAGTTAGGTACTTAGTTTTGGCTGTGTTTGGCCACGATCCTGGTGTGGCAAGGAACGTATGGTCATGGATGCAGCCCTTCCTCTCAATGACATTCAGGATGATATGGGTGCTACCACTCTTCTTATTGAGCAAACTTGTCAATAGCTTGTGGTTTCAGGTAAAACCAGACATTTTTTCCTCATAATGTTTTGCAAGAAATATTGTTTTTATTAATAGTTCATTTTTTTGTGACAGGTCTTAATAAAATAAAAGAAGTGTATAATAAATTACTCTTCTAAAAACAATATTTTTACAGGCTTTTGTAAAACACATTAGTTATTTCATCACCATGTAATGTGAGCCATATGAAAACTGACATAAGTAATAGAATACCAGTTACCACACATCATTTGCCCCAAAATGAGTAAACAGAATAATTGTGCACATGAGTAATTTACTAATTCAAAAATTTTAAAGATTGGTTAGTGCTTAATGTACAGATACTTTTTTCTACATTTATGACCATATAAAATGGGGAATTATTTTATTCATAAACATGTACATGAACAATATGTCCCATCATTATTTTAACTATTATCTTGATGGTTTTAAACTCAAAACGTGGTCTCATTCCGTAATGCACATGCATCCAGTTACCTAGAATCGATATTCAGTGTGAATTTATTTTATGTTTGACGGTGACAACCGAGCAGCCGGTTCACCTGATCTTGAGTGGCAACCGCCGCCCATTGACATTTGCAACACTCATAGGTTTGCAGATGCTTTGCCACACTTTAATAAATGGGACCCCGGCTACCTCAGTCACCAGACGAAACGCAGAAGTGTAACACTTCCACCTCACGCCGGTATTCTGTGAGGTCGTGGTACTTTCCCGGACGGACGTGCCCATTCTTGCTACAGTGAAGACTGTTATTGGACCTACAACAGTTACATGTAATTCATTCAGTGCTTCAATATTCAAATATTCAATATTTAGGACACATTTTTTTACACAACATTCTCCAGTCCCAAACTAAGCAAAGCTTGTACTATGGGTACTAGAAAACTGATAAATATACTTAAACATACTTTTTTTTAAATAAATACATCACACAATATTTTTCCAGTAGTGGGGATCGAACCCACACCCTCTGGCGCAGGAGGCAGGTCCACTACCCACGTCATTCAGGTCGTCAAACAGATGTTTTAATAAAGATGGAGAATGTCCATAATGCTCGGCGTTTAAACATTGTTCCGTTTTACATTATATGACACATAGGTATAAGAGAAGGTGACGGATGATATAGAATGTTTGATAAGGAAAGAGATAGCAGTCTATAGCAGTCTTTCCAATTTGCGTAATTCAACTGTCTGTTTCATCGAAACAGACAGTTGAATTACGCAAATTGGCCTAATGTCATACCTAACTCGTACTTGTGTATAAAATTATTGAATTAAGCAAATAACGATTTTGATATAGTTTTGTATATGACACATAACTATTAATACCAAATTGTATTATTTTTATCTATATTGAGTTTCTTATGTATTATGTTAAATACTATCTACTATATCTTTTTTAGTTGCTTACTGCATGGCAAATTGAATTGCCATGCAGTCAGCTAAAGCTAAATTTGCATGATTTTAAACATTTAAATAGGTTAAAGCGACAGACATGTACCTAAACATCGTTGTAACCCTGTTTACGGCAAATAAATATTTGAATTTGAAATAATGATAATGTCATTTCTAGGACATTGCGGACTCCGCGTATAGGCACCGTCGCGGTCGGCCTCAGTTTATGTCCAGCGTCAGCAAAATCATTGCCGACTCGCTGTTCAGTTTGCTGGTGCAAGCGTTATTTCTAGTACAGGTAAATACATACTACGTACAGTACTCATAGATCATAGGTTACAAACCTTTTTTTTATAAGTAATCATTTAACTTTATTTTGAACTGACTATGTATTGTCAAAACCATTCTTAGAAATACTAAGTACAAATAATATTTAAAATTTATTGTATATCGACAGTTTATTACTGATTGTTATAGAGAAAAAAAATTAAACCTATTCATTTTGGGAGCGCAAATAGAAAAATTGCAGCCTATTTGCAACTTTAAAGTGATTTTTGTGACGATTTATCTAAAATTCCTATCCATAAAGTACAGTCGACGGATTGCTGGGATTAGCTTAGAATATCTTGAATTCTCTCGTATTGCAACCAAACTCTTTTCCACCTAGTTTTGTAGGGTTGTCAGGGTTTATTTACACCTTCTGTCCATAGAGAATATACTGTTTTGCGCGGGCGTTATCTACGGCCTCTACGTAGAGTCATCATACACAAACCCCTACCTCATGTAAACATGTTTTGGCCTCAACATGTAAATGCATTTATAGTCCATAGACAATGCTGGTCTGCATTCCTTCTATAATATAATTTTAATACTACTCAATAGAATCGGAAGCGGTCCTTTATACCAACCCAATTTTGAACAAACACAAGGGTTTGTCTACGGCCTATTTTGGTGGAGTAAGCATACACAAACACGCATCAATGGTCTACTGCCTTGTGAATATGTGTCGATTCCACATGCTACTGCATTCTCCGTCCGTAGAGTATGCTGGTCTGCATTCCTCATAAAATATAATTTGAATGCTACTGAATTGAAACTAAACGAAAGCCGCTCTTTATCCTAACGCAGTTTTGTACAGTCGCGAGGGATTTTCTACGGTCGCTTTCGGTAAAGTCAGCATACACAAACATGCGTCAGCGACCGACCCCATTGGAAATGTCGATTCTACCTGCCACTGCATTCTTCGTCCGTAAAGTATGCTGGTCTGCATTCATCCGAAAACGAAATTTGAATATTACTCAATTGAAACGAAGCGAGATAGCATTCACAAACATGTGTCATCAACCGACCATATTAAACATGCCGAGTCCACATGCCAATGCATTCTCCGTCCGTAGAGTATGCTGGTCAGCATGCTCCCCATAGCGTACGTGGGCGACCTGCTGTGCCTGGTGCACATGTGCCTGCTGTACTCGCTGTACTCGTTCGAGTACAAGTGGTTCAACATGGGCTGGGAGCTGCACAAGCGGCTGACCTTCATAGAGACCAACTGGCCCTACTTCCTCGGCTTCGGTCTACCGCTGGCCGTGCTGACGCAGATACCGCACTCCTACATCATCAGGTGAGCGTCCGGAATATGTTGACATGTAGAACAAGCGACCCGCCCCGGCTTCGCACGGGTGCAATGCTGAATGTTCTTTAAATCGCATTAGAAACCACTAAAATTATCTGTTTCTCTATTATATTATGCACGAACTATCTAAAAAAAAACCGCATCAAGATCCGTTGCGTAGTTTTAAAGATCTAAGCATACATAGGGACAGACGGACAGCGGAACGACTTTGTTTTTAACCGACTTCAAAAGAGAAGGCGTTTTCTCAATTCGACCGTATATATTTTTATTTTTTATGTACGTTCGCGGATGACTTCGTCGTTTATTAACAGATTTTGATGATTCTTTTTTGTCGGAAAGGAGATATCCCAAGGGTGGTACCATGATAAGGAAACCCGGATCTGATGTTGGCATCCCAGAGATATCGAGGGCCATCATTGAATGTTATAAGTAATAACAATGTTTTTAATTTTCTAATTAATGTCGGTTTGTTTGTTAAAAATTATACTTGTATACTATGTAGTGATGATTTAGATATGAAATAATTTCTTCAGAGTACTGTTTATTATTAATAAGTTTGATAAGAATAAACTTATTCTGGTCAAAATCGTTATTACGCTAATTTGATTTTCAATTAATTTTTCAATTTTATGTCTGGTGTAATTGTTTAGTCTCTACGTGTGTGTTATCGTGTTGCAAAAGTTAACATACCTGACTTTTTTGATCTTAAAACTTGTGAATATTTTTGTTGTCTATAATAATAAATAAATATGTAATGAAGTATGTTCCGTTGCTTCCTTATTTTACACTTGTATCTCATCTTTGCATGGAAGTCTCTTCGAGTATTACCACTCAAGTTTCACAGGAATCGTATATCGGTAAAGCGTACGGGACAAACAAAGAAACATTATTTTTATGTACAGGTTTCGCGAATGTCAACGTCAAGCTTGTGTTTCTGAAACTGTTGCAATTCAATATTCCGTTTCTTGTTCTTAGAATGAAGGCCATCTTTTTAATTATGTTTGTTCACTTCGGCCCATGCACCTTATAAATAATTAATCGAAATAACGTACAGCAGAATAAATAAACACGCATTGAGTGTAATTCATATAATTCCTTACTTCCTTACTAATATTATAAAGGCGAAAGTTTGTATGCATGGATGTATGTTCGTCACTCTTTCACGCAAATACTACTGTACGGATTTTAATGAAACTTTACAATAATACAGTTTATACATCAGAATAAAATATAGGCTATAATTTATATAAGCCGTTTATTTAAAAGCGGTAAAATCGATATTTCCGGTTTCCGGTGTCTTTTTTGATGTTTTCATCCCAATTTTGGGTTGGGTGTGTTGGCAAGAATAATAATAATTTAAAAAAAAATATATTTTATCGATTTTTTTTCTCAACTGTTAACCAAAATGTTAGGGTTATTGAAGAGTAGAGGGCTATTTTTAGAGTTTGTTTTGGAAATTAACAATTTAATTTCAAAACGAAAAACGTGGATAAAATGGCGTATGTTTCTTATGCATACATATATAAAGATTTAACTTGCTTATATATACATGTTTAAAGTTTTTTATATCTGGAAAGTATTTCAAATTTATGATTCATTGCGAATATATGTCAATATCTAATAACAATAAGCTTCTATGTCCAATGCTACTGTTTGTCATAAAATCAATCGCCTTGTACTTTGTACGCGTAATCTTATCGGCACAGCTGGCTGTAACAGCTAAAATTACCATATCGTTAGCACGGAAAAGACAAAATCTAATATTTATATTTTGCATTAGAATTTTAACTAAATAAACATAGAACAAAAAATTACAAGGATTATGATATTTTTACAAAATATGTTGTTATGTCGTAGATATTTTCTATTTTTAGAAGTTCAGTTACCACTTTTAATGAGATGGCGCTGTTTCTAAGGGGTGTCGAGTTCGATTCCCACACGGCACAATTTGTGTGCGCCACCGATAATTGTTTCGTATCTGTTATCTGGGTATTCGTTCCCGAGGCGGGTGAATGTCTGGCAGACGGCCCTAAAAAACTAGCCAATACCATAAACAAACTGTGGTAGGACCACGCAATAGTCTTAGCTGTTGCACGAATGGGCAGTTCCGTCTGAGTAAGTACCACGACCTCACAGAAAACCGGCGTAAAGTGGTTGCAAATGTCCACGGGCGGCGGTTATCACCTAACATCAGGTGAAACCAGCTCGTTTGCCACTTTCTAACATGAAAAAAAACTCATTCAAAGAAAGACGAGAATCACCACTTTAGAGTATATAAATCATCGACCCATTTAGACTATTAAAGAATAGTCTAAATCGGTCGCTTCTATCAGACTCGTTGAAATCACCAGTATCAACAACAGTACATTATAGAAGAATCACAAACATCCACCTCAACTTGACGTTCTTTTGCGATATGCAAAAACACTTTCACCTCACGTAAATACAAAAGTTTTATTGATTTGACCTACTTCCACGTCACAGCGTTCTTGGTGATACGTTGTCTGCTTTGAGTATACACCGCGTATTGACCGCAGTGACCAGTTTTCTTCCCGAAAAACATACGCTTCCTACGGTATTGGTCTGAAGGCGCGCTTGAAAATTTCCTATCACACTACTCACTTATTTTAAGTCCGCTTGTAAGATGATTCGTGAAATCGTCCTGACGAGGTGGAACATTAAGCTCGCTGAAGGGTTCACAGGCTGGTCACTTGCCAAGATAGGCACTTAAGCCCTTAAAATGTATGTGCTTCAGGGTAAGAGGGGAGTTTTTGTGTGTGCGTTTTTTTTTGTGTGTATGTTTTAATCGAAACCATCCCTTCTGTTCCAGCGGTTGCGTATTCTCCATATTCTTCCCGGTGTTCATTTTGAGCGGGAACGAGGCGACACCGGTCATAGGAAGGTGGGTTTGTAGTTTTAGTGTGATGGAATGTTCCAATGTGGTATCGGCCCGTTGAAATTTGTTAGGCGATACTTTAAAGGAATCGACCGATCCATTAAAAAATGAAGAAGGAATATCAATAGTCAAGTGTATTAGAAAGTGTTTTCGTAGAGATTATTTAACATTTTGTGACACTTTCCATTTCATTAAGGCTGGCGGAGTTGGTAAGCTATATTATATGAAGCTTCAAATACTTCTAATGACTTCTCATCAGAGAGCAATTTTGCGAAGATAGCAATATGGTATATCCAAATAACCATTTAAACTTAAATATGTTTTTATGTTTTATAACTCGGTGCGGCTGCCGAAGTGTTGGCTTTGAAGCAGCGTCTTGTATCGTGGGTTCGATTCCCACTCGGGACAAGTACTCATGTAACAATCGTCCCATATCAGGGTTGCTGAAAAATATCTGGTTGATGAATGCAGACACACCAATATCATTCCCCGCAGTACTAATTACCAATCTCTCTAATGACTTAAAAACTGTTAAATATTCTGATTTAACAGTTTTTAAGTTTAAGCTGCGTAGTTCTTGTAACGAGAAATTTGTTACTCGTATAGTATGAAAGGAAATGCAGGTGCTATTTTAATGACGATGGCAAATTATCACGCGTTTCTCTTTACGTTAAGAGATTATCGCCACTCAAGGATATCTACGATACTACGGCTGTAAATACGTTGCAAATCCAATAAAAAATATTCCCGGGTTACCTCACCCTCCAGTGCGTCCCTGGGCTACGAACACAGCGCTCTAGTCGAAAACGCCAAGGGTTTAAAATTAAAATTTGTTACATACCATGAAAATTGACTTCAGCTCATAGTGGTATTTTCAGTGAATATATTACATAGCGTGAGAATGACTTCAGCTCATAAGGTGTTGTCGTCGGTGAATATATTACATACCGTGTGAATGACTTCGGCTCATAACGTGCCGTTTTCAGTGAATACGTTACATACCATGAGAATGACTTCAGCTCATAACGTGTCGTTTTCAGCGAATATCCCCTGAGGCTGTTCTCGCCCGTGGTGGCCATCTCCAACGGGATGTTCCGCTTCGCCAGGAGAACCGCCGACACCGATCGGCACAGCTGATAGCCGAGTGGGTAGTGGGTGAAATGCGGGGAGGAGGGATTGTGGGGGGGGGGGGACTTTGTAAAGGATTGATCAGCTAATAGCAGTGGGGGGGAGGGGGAAAAGTAATTATGGAGGGGAGACGTGACTTAAAGTCCGTAGAGGTCGAATATAAAAGACTAAATCAATGTGTTGTATATATGACTTCATATTTGTATGAGACAGTTGGCGATTTTATTTCTCTTTTGTAATGAATCCTCTGTCCAATATCACAGGTTGTAATTTTGCTTTTATATTTTCTTTGCCGCGTTAGTTATTTAGAATTTGATAAAGACATTATGTTATACGACAAATAGATATTGATTACACTTGACGCGATCTCATATTTTAGTTGAATTAAAAAATATGTGCTATCCATTTAATTTTTTGTTTGATAATAAATTCAGGCAAGGATCATCGTGAAATCGCTCCCATCGCTAATAATGTGAATACTTTGTTATATATGTAAATAATTATTTATATATGTTGGCCACTTGTATACTTACGTGTAAAAATAAGACATGAGCTGTTATGAATACCTTTTCAAATATCTCTCCATCGTCACCAGCAGTGAACGGTTGGGCATGTACCTCTCCCACAGCACGAAACAGCTCGAGATTTGCAAAAATCGCAACTCTATCTGTTCAGATAGCGTCGTGCTCTTTATATTTCTCGATTTTATATTCTCCAACATTCTAAATTAGATGTACTACGCCTAATGAACAAGTTACTTAGCGTGTAAAAATGCGTAATTTATATCGATATGGTGCCTGCTAGTTACATGTACATATATGCCTGTACAAATGAAACTTAACCGCAATGTGCTGTGTTGAGTTCTCTTCGAGTTGAGTAAATTGTGATGAATTTAATTTTACATGACATAATTTATTGAATAAAAATGGACTGAATATAATTTGCTATTTCTTTAATTTCTTAGATCCCTCATGTGACCATTTAAAGTCAAAACGTGCAATGTATTATTTTTCCTTCCACGAAAGTTTTTAAATGCACTGAATGTATACCATAGTCCATACCACATACACAGCGTGTCTTTACAATCGCGACAATAAATTACCCAGATTGCCACAATTCCTGAGTCACCGAGCATATAGACTTCCTGCACATTCACACATGGGGTAGTCACTCTATGTAGTGTAGTGTTGTGTGTATCCGATCTCCCACTAGATGGAGTGACCTTTGCAAACAGTGATTATTGTTGCCAAAATGAAAATTCACAGTTTTCGAGTCAATACAAAAATTGCACATTGACCAGCTCTCAGGCTTACATAAACTTATGTTTAGGATAAAAGAAAAAAAAATGTCCACCACAAAGTTTTTAATCAAATAATAAACAGGATGGGTCATTTATTGGAATGTGGAAACTTTACAACAGTTTGATTATTACCGGCAGCTTAAGCGATGAATGTTTTAATATAAAACAAACTTTCTTCTATTAATTTCTTGAGCAGACATTTCGTAGTTCGTATTTAAAGCTAATAGTTAGTGTCACAGATTAAAAACCACGAAATCGATAAAACTTAAAGCAGAAGCTTAAAACTATAATTAATACTTAAACATGGTCTAACATTGGTTAACATACCTCATTCAAAACTTATTTATAGAATATCACAATTTACGGATACAATACATTTTCAGAAATTGCATTTAACGCAGTCAGAAACTAAATGAGCTTTCAGAACAGGTTGTTGTGGACTCACCAAACTGTAATATGCAAGAGCTATATCTAATACAACAGAGATTTTCATTTAATTTTGGGTGAAACATAAACATTTTTAAACATCAATTTAATCTCCTAATATTAGTTCAATGTGATTGTAATTTAGACGGCTTAGAAAATAACCACAAACTCAGGTATAAGGATGAGAAAATTATTTGAATACATTCTCCATATCCACAATAGACACATTGCCAAAAAAAAGAGATTGGACGCTACTCTCCCATAAATATGAGAATTCAGTTTTTTTCTACTTACATTAACATAATTGTTATAATTCTTATTTAACTTGGTTATGTTCAGATACAATATTGTTATATACTAATCTACTTAAAAGCTACGACGATATAATTGAGATCTATTAATTATTATTTATGTCTAGACACCAGTTAAAATGGAACCCGTATAAACTTTTAGATTGGCCTCCAAAGGAAAAGCTTTTACTTTGGACAATTACGCACTTTAATGGACAACACTTTGTATTTTGACGTGAAATTATTATATCTAAGGCAAGTTAAAATATTTGGTTGAATCGTCTGAACTATAATTATTCCAACAAGAAACAATCAAAGTTATTATATTTCAAATGGACTATGCTTTAAGCTTAAAAAACCATACCATATGCTTAAAATAACTTGCAGATGAAAACATTTCTAGTCAGAAAATAAATGCCGTTATTAAAATATTGTAGTTTTGAAGTAGTCCATGAAAACGTATAATCACAGAAAATATTCTGATTTATTAATAAAATATCGCTAAAGTATATAAAAAGCTAGAAGTATATAAGGCAAATAAGTAATAATAATTTCAAATTTCCTTGGTCTTTGATTAATACAACAAATTAAAAACGATTACCACAACTTAGATATTAAAATATAGAAGTTATATATTATAATTGTACATTTAACTATTTATTACTATTAGGGATTAAAGTAAGGCTTTGCATATTGACAAATTACAATTGCTAAGTTGGTACCAGATATTTTGATATCATTTAATATTGATATGACTACATTTATGTCTACTATATTTCAAATTTAGTATGTGCAACATTCAGATATGTGGATAAGTATGTTCTTATTAATGATTCATAATGCTATAATTTCCTAATATGTAAAAAAAATACATCAAAATCGTTAGAGTCAATTGAATAAAAGAATATGGAAATTATAATTATATTGAGCTATGCATATCCGCGTATTGATTTAAATAATTACAATAAAACATTCTTACATATTGGTACATACAAGTCAATAATGCATAATTTAAAGTTATATGGTTACATTCTAATGGTAAGTTGTTTTAACGTCTTTTTTTTAATTTAAACTAATCAATTCAATCAGATTTTCGAGATAAAAGATCAATACCAGATTATTATATCAACGAAGTAAGTAATGAAATTTAGTACATTTTTCGGCGCATGACTTTTATATCTATTCACCTCCTTACTCAATTAAATCTTGCTAAGACACGAATATTATATAAGCTAACATAACTAGTAAAATATAGCTTAACTAATTATTCTCAAATTTAACGAAAATTGCAACTTCTAAATAAAAAAAGCGCACGTCCAGCAGTTAAGTATACTTATAATATACACGAATTAAAATAAATAACATCACACGATAACGGCGTAATCAAAACCTGTGACAAATTCTAAACATAAAGTTATACAAACACACAAATTACAAACATAAACTTATCTTATAGGTAAATTACAAGGAAATAAATGTCATTTTATAATTAATTAATGAGCTACTAAATACATGCACCACGGAGGATTAAAACTAAAACTTAAACGGTCAGCTTATAAATCTACTTTATTACGGTTATTAATGGTCTGGTAATAAAAAAGAATAAATTAAATTTCAGGGTCGTCAACTATCTTATAAATTGATTTTTTTGACATTCAAACCGATTTGCTTTTTTTAATCCATCCTCTTATAGGGTTTATCAGAGATTAATTCTTTTATGTTTATTTTTGGATCTGTATTAAGCCTTTTTATTACCTGTTTCGATATTTGCATATTGTTTTGGTTCTTCACAGGAGTCGAACCAGCAGCATTCCGATAGCGGCTCCAACTGTTAGGCCGACACTTAACATCGTCGCGATGACTGAAGAAGCTTTCTCCCTTTCGTGTAGATCGACAACCCTAGAAAATTCAATGAGAAGTTCCCAATCAATACGCGTCCCAACAACCTTCATGTATGTATATGGAAATAAAGTTAACACAAATAAAGTTTTTATATAGCGCAAATTGAACTCAATAACTGATTGTCTTTGTATATTAAATGTAATTAAAATGTAGCCTCATAAGTTACGTGACATATTTAAATAGTGCAAATTGATAAAGTAATTATCTTTCTATTAAAATATAGGTAATAAAAATGTACTATTTCAGGGAAACCTATGGAAACGCTGAATCGCTTTAAATGTGTTTTCCGTTTTAGCAAAACCGAGTGATCTCTTCGTTAGTTATCTCGTCATTTAAATAAAAACAAAGTTTCAGTTCGAAATTTGAAAATATTCAAATCAAATTGGAAGATGACAAGCAAAAGTAATACAACAAGAAACGCGAAATGTTGTTTTTATGCGTTATGAACTGTAATATTCTTTATACTGAGTTTGTATGAGTTGGAAAAATAATTTGAGTCACTGTTTTTTTTTAACTCATATATTTGACAGATAACTCAGAGCTAAGTGCAAAACACTGGTCAATGTCATACTACAGTAAGGAAAACGTCATATAAACTGAGGCAAAAATATTTGTAGTATCGTTTATGGTCGATTATATTTTAATCGCTTTTAAATGTGTGCAATATTTTATCATATTACGTTTTTATTGGTTGTAACATATTTTTCATTAAAATCGTTCGCCGTTGCGAAAGTATTATGATGGCAAAAACGATTTGTCTATCTCGTTGTAAACACGTGTCGCGAGTGATAAATGTTAACGACAGAGATAAGTAATTAATTACGAAGCCCATTCAGAGAATAAACAAACAGGGATGGAATTATTATCGCATTTAAATGCCTAACGATGTGTAATAGCTAAGGACAATTGCAAGTATTACTTTAGCAAGCTTTTTGTTATTATTCTTAACTTTGTTGACAAGGAGAGGGGGTAATACATATTATAAATATATGATTCACACTATAATAGTTTGTATTTCGGTTAAGTGAAGATAAGCCACCAATTCAAGACCGTGGAAAAATAAAAGTTAAATTTAAATTTTACTTTTATGACGTAAGTATTCGATGATTCGACGATACGGTGGCGCCGTAGCTAAGCTATTTAGGCTTCGGCGTCGGGGGTCATCGGTTCGATGCCCACACGGTACGAGTATTTTTGTGACCCACAGATAGTTGCCCGGAAAACCATAGTTGTTTGGTCGTTAAAAAAAACATAGCCAAATCCGCTTACAACATGGTTCACGGGTGCCGACACCACCTAGGTGGGATTAGGGCAGAAGTATGATGACTTTTTATAACATTTTTACTATGGTAAATATACAGCGTGTCGTTACCATCGCGACAATAAATGAACACACGTCTAACGCTACTTGCCAATAATCATAAAATAATATTACAGTTAAACAAAATCCATAATTAAAAAAAAATATTTTTCAAACAAACTAATTAAGTAAAAAAGAAACAAAATTTGTAACATCCTATACAACTCGCGCCACAGCGTCGCATTACAAGCCTCTTCTTCTAACAGGATGTTTTGTCTCTTTTAAATTCATTCAACCCATTCATATGCTTTGTGACCTTTACAAATGAACTTTATGTTATTCTTTTATAGGTAAGGATGTTCTAAAATTCTTTGTTTTGGAAAATTTAATAACTCTGTAAATCTCTGTTGATGTTTGAAGAATTTAAATGTTTAATACAACTTTAAAAAGTTATCCCCTATATGTGTGTTCATTTATTGTCGCGATGGTAACGACACGCTGTATATACACGCTTCGCTTCACCTAGAAAAATCTCACGTGTAACCGTATTAATTCAATTCGACCTGTGGTTCAAAAGATAAAAATCACTGTGACCAGCGCCACCTATCCGGCACTAACATAACCATGTTCGACGGAGTGTCATGTCGTCCTTTATACAGGCTGGCTTTTTTAAAGGTGCCCAAATTCACACAGGACGTTCAGACTCGGTAGTATAATCGTTTACTGAAATAAAAACAAACTTTTTTTTTTTTCAAAAACTTGCCATTCCATTCCCTAAAAAACAGAACTTGTTGCCAATGCGGTAGTCATTCATAAATACGTCGTATACTTTTAAAACGAACTTGTTTGGATACTTATGAATGATCGCGCGTAAAATAAATTAGTTGCCCATAAAACACGGACTTTTTGAGATAAGTTCAAATGGATGTATTTGAATTAATTACGAGTGATTTTAAATATTTATCATTTTTCATATAACCATTATTTATGTCTAGAATTTAATAAAAAAAAATGGATACACTTAGAAAAGCCTCCCTGTATATGAACTAAGTTTCATATCGATTGGGCTAACGGTTCTCGAGTTTTAGTTAAAAATGCATACACGCACGCATTCTCTTTTATACTGCGATGCATTTTGAGCTTTAGGAGTACGGCGGCAGGGTGTCTTACCGCGTGGCGTTGATCATCACGATGTTGGTGAGGTAGCCGTTGGTGAAGGCGAAAACGATCATGATCATTATGTACTCGTAGTCCCACAGGAATAGGACGGGCAGGTGAGTCCTGGGCTGCGCGTTGCACAGCATCAGCATCGGGACCCCCACGACCCTCAGGACGCTGGCGCCGGCGATCAGCCACTGGTTGGTGGGCTGGACACCAGATCGAGTCAGAGCCGAGGACGGCAGTTTGAATGGCGTTCTTTTTGTATGAAAATCTAGCTAGAGACTTGGCGATTCAGCTGCCGCCCATTGACATTTGCAACACCTTACAATAAAGTGGGCCCCGGCTACCTCACTCACCAAACGAAACGCAGTCCTCCATGAGGTAGTGGTACTTACACGGAAGGAGCTGCCCATCCGTGCAACAGCGAAGACTGTTGCGTTGGCCTACCACAGTTGAGGGTTTCTATCACAGGCGTTTACGTGATGAACGCATTCACGTCATAAAAGAAAAAAAGTTAAATAAACCAATAACGAACAGAGCCACGCCTCGTGGTTGTTAACAACAAATGTGGTTAACATTTCTTCGGCCGTGGACGTACCTCACATACTAGACGAAACGCACAAACATTATAATTCCACTTCCGGTCTTCTGTGAATCCTAGTCACTTCCCTGGACTCCTGAGAACCTTGGCTGGTAAGTAGGAAAGATCCTTCCAATCATCCTAACTTCTACGGATTCCTGAGAGCTGATAACTACAAAGGGTCCTTCCAATCATCTTCTACTGATGTTTATTAGTCTGCGCATTTAAGTGTCCTTACCCTCAACAGGAACCCGGCCACCAGCCGTCCGGAATAGTCACCGCAGTTGAATATCAGATAGTTGACGACGGGCACGAAGAATATGTCTGAAAGTCAAGAAGAATAATCATCATCACCAGCTGAATGTAAGCAAGAGCAAATAAAAAATATGCCGTGCTAACGCCTCACTGCGATCAATGATATTACATACAAATACGAGGTAGATATGACTACACTAACCGAAACTGAGGCGCTCAAAAAAAGGAAAACGGTATAATTAGATTTGCAACTCTATCTTTGATCTATCTTTCCGTATCATACTTTCTATATAATCTGTCACATACACTAACAAACGTCATGTAATAAAGTAAAGCGGATCAATTATCAAACGCCGCGCGGTACGGCCACGTAATAGGTGGTAATAATCTTTGTTAAAACATTACGCATTACGTAGCCAAACGAAAAGTATCGTCAACAAAAAAAAAAAAGAAAATCCACTCACTGTTCCAGTCGGTGCCCTTTGTGACCGGGTGCGACTCCACCAGCACCGTCACGGCGGGGTATACCGCCATGCTGATCGCGAACACGGCGAATATGCTGAACGCGTAGACCCATATCTTCCTCAGTATGAGCCACATGGGGGCGTCGCGGTGCCGGTTTTGTGGGGCGCCGGCCCGGCCCAGGGCGTGGTGGGCGAAGAAGTCTATCCTGTGCAGCAGCGCGTAGGAGACCAGCGAGCTGATCACCATGACGTCGGCGATCACGAAGTAGATGAGGGCGCTGTGCAGCGGCGATATCTTGAACGCTAGCGACACTATCTGCGCTATGGCCGCTATTATACCGCCCAGCGATTGGCCAGCAACCACAGCCGCCATGTACTCCCGGGAGAACCTGCTCGCGATGCCGACCAGCCCGCCGGTGAACACAGCGCTGGCGGCTGCCGAAAGGATATTCAAAAAAATTCCGATCGAGAGCTTTAAATTCATCTGGCTGCTGCCGAAAGATTATTCAAAAATTCCGATCGCGAGCTTTAAAGTCATCTGGCGGCTGCCGAAAGAATATTCAAAAAAATTTCGATCGAGAACTTCAAAGTCATCGTTATTCGAATAATGATGTCTTTAAAACTTTTTGATCACTTTAAACGAGCAACTCGTGTGGGCAACGTCGTCTTTTTATTCAATTCTCACAAGTTTTTGGAATGTCCGGACCGTGTAAAAAACCAAATGACATAGGTAATTATAGATGTCCGTTTATTTTTTTCTTTTTATTTAAATTTTTCATACAAAAAATCTATGATATTTCTTACTATCTATTTACTCGTAAACACACCTAAACGGAACGGATGCATTCAATATTTTCTTTGTTTGTTATCAGGCGGTCGATTTACGTGTATTTTATGAATGTACTACAGAATGACTTTATTATTCCTAAATCCTCTGCAATCACATATGTCTAATGCGATAACATCAAACCTAGATTCTAGTGATCTAAAATTCTCGTATTCAGAGAGCAAGCTAAATCAGGCTCAGCAACAATAGATATAGGGCTCCAAATTCTGTGGCAACGCGGTCGAAATTAAAACAAATAAAATTATCAAACACCAAATAGCAAAGGAAACTCATAATTAACAGATTAAAGCATCCTAGGCATACTAAAAATTGGGTCTTTCCGAACCAACAGTCAATGAAAAAGCTCTTTAGCATATATTTAACCTTTTGTTGGTAATCTTATCAATAATCATTTCTTTGTACTCATCTAGATCACCAAGAAATGATTATTGAAAATGAATCCTATAAAGAAATTTAAACGTCCACTTACATCGGTGAGCATAAAAAGGACTCGAGCGCGAGGTATGTTTTATTTTTGTATTTAAAATTGTCTTATAAATGTCTGCAATGTATTATACATATAAACCTTCCTCTTGAATCACTCTATCTAGTAAAAGTACCGCATCAAGATCCGTCGCGTAGTTTTAAATCTAAGCATACATAGGGACAGACAACGATTTTGTTTTATACTATGTAATGATTTTACTCTCATCAGAATGCTGTGAAATGAGAAGGTCGAGTATAAATACCATTTATTCCATTACATTTACTTTTTGATTTTGATGAATGTATGCATCGGTGTTCTTATTTTTTTAATGGGATATTAAAAAAAGTATGCCCCGGTTACCTCACCAGACCAAGCGCGACTATTAACTTTAATTTCATGCCGATCTTCTATGAGGTCCTGATACCAAGTAAAGTATTTTTATAATTTAATGTAGCGAGTGGTTCTAGTTTTTTTTCATCTGTTACACTATGGAAGAAATCTCGATGCGAGCAGGGGTATAAAATATATTCTGATTAGTCATTTACACGTGGAAGCGGTATACTATCGATAACTAACCGGTCCAAGTAGTGACTCACACGAAGCATTGTGATCTTATATCTTTTTACTCGACCTTCAAAAGACTAACGTTTTTCTACCATATGTATGTCTAATTATTTAGCAGGTTCTACAATTAATTTTATGGCAGATTTCAACATATTATGTCAACAGAATCGTTTCAGTTTAGAGGAAAAGTTAGTTTATAATTCAGTTGGGTTTATGTATTTCTCCAGAAATTTTGCTGTTGTAATTTTGTTTTTAGTACATAGTGGCTAACGCGATGTCCGTTAGGGTCAAGTTACACTACTAAGTTTCACGATAAGGGCATAGGCTACCACCAAAAATTAAAATAGTATATCGTAATTTTAATAACTATAGTGTTTAATAGATAAGGAGTAAACAACATGCTTAGATTCGACCTCAATAACTTTTCAATTGCCAGAGGGTGAATTGGGTCAATTGAGTCAGATCCTCTTCATCTCTTATCGTCTTGTTTATTCATCGTTATAATTAAGCGTCAAAGCATCTTTGGTACATCTGTTGAGCTGACTTTACCCACTCTTTGGACTTTTAATAAAAGAATACAAAAGTCCATACTTATCTTAATTAAACTTATATTTGTGATGGTTCTTGGAGCCGCGTAAAGTTGTAGCGAGCCAAATAAATTAGAATATAAACATAATGGGAAAAAAATACCGCTGAGTTTCTTTCACCGGTTCTTCTGAGATCAGCGGTTTATTTATCGAAAATTTACCGGTTTGATCAATAAGTGTAATGCAATTGAATAAAGACATTCCATGAATTTGAAAAATATACCACACAATTTGGGCTACTGTCATACAGCTTATGATTGTCACACGTAAACGTATCGACGAATTTAGAACTGTTCCGGGGAAACATTTTAAAGTAGGTATATTACGTCATTCAGTACGCATTCATAATGCACATTTAAACACGATATTTCTAATTAATAATACTACTAATGTAAAATTTAGAGAGCGAATATTTTAGGATATTTTAATCAATGATATTGTATACATATACGAGGTAGATATGACACTAACGCACCGAAACTAAGCCACTCAAATTACGGCAATTGGTGTCATAAGATTGCAATTCTAGGCACTGCTATCTCTTTCCATATTATACGCTCGATATCATCTGTCACATTCACTTAAACATATCGTATAATGTAAAGGGGAACAATTTTTAAACGCCGTATGGACACGAGTCATCTTTATTAGAACATTTTTGATTCTAATTCACTATGTTTAATTTAAAATAAGTGTATTGTTAAGTGGATTGAATCGCAGACGACCAACAAAAACAAAGCTGTTATACCTCAGAACCACATAACCCGGCGACCTAGTATATGAGTCATCACGTACAAGCTAGGTCGTAAACCGCATAGAGGGATAGGTCACGTGATCACCCTCACAACCGCGGAGGAATTAGCTTCTTGGGTGATTTGATCATCGAGGCTTTATGATCATTGAGATCAACAGTCTCTCTGAGCTACTAATGTTTATTCTGCGGCGCTTCGTCGTCGGGGGTCGTGGGTTCGGTTCCCGCACGAGACAACTATTCGTGTGACCCACATATTTTCGTATCGGATCTGGGCCCACGTGATATTTATGTTTGTAAAACGTCCTTACAACACTAGAAAATGTTATACAGTAACATACAGTAATGTTTAAAATTAAAAAAAGTGTGTGTCTTATGTACACGCGTTAGAAGTTATACTCCTTTGGCGTAACAAGATAAAAATCTTTTCAAAATTTTTATCTTTCGCCTTATTCTACGTTTGTTGAAAAAGCGACAATAACAATAGAAAAAAGGTATTTAATACATTTAAAGTTTTATTATAACGCATTATCTAGTTAAATAAAGTTTATTTAAATATCACAATATAAATATCGTGAATACAGTTTGTCAGTTATCACGCAAACATATTTACGCCCGGTTTCTAGAACACTGATCATCGTAGATGTCAACTAATCAGCTGTCAAATGGCTTTTCAATTTCATTTTAGTTGCCAAAGGGATGGTTAAACTATTTGAATTGATCATTTTTATCATCAAGAAGATCATTCTGGTCAATTCGGAGAGTTTATCTGTCCTTTTGGCAACTAAAATTAAGTTTGAAAAGCCATTTGACAGCTGATTAGTTGACATCTACGATGATCAGTGTTTCAGAAACCGGGCGTTAGAAGTCTAGCTAACTTCAGGGTGTCGGTTTTTCGTGAAGGTGTGCGCGCGCATCGTAAAAATGTCCTCCCATCTTTTTTCACTAACGCACCAAAAGAAGTATAACTTCAAAAACGGAAGACGTAGCGTTGGAATGCCTCCCTCTAGGTGGACCGACGACATCACGAGAGTTGCGGGCAACCGGTGGATGCAAATGGCAAGTGCCGTTCATTGTGGCGTTCTAAGGGGGAGGCCTATGTTCAACAATTAACGTCTTGTGGGTGATGATGGAGACGTTAAGGGGGAAATGTTTTCAAAGGGAAGGCTACAATAGATCTTCGTAGGTCGTTTGGACTTAATACCTAAACACTTCAACTCACTCAGACCCGGCGACATTGCAGGCGTCTTCTACTCAAAGTGTGGAAATCCTGTTACATCACTAGCAGGAGGAAACGTAACACTTAGCCCTAGAAAGCATACTAGTGCAACAATAGAGCCTGCAGTCTAAATTCGGAAATGAAATCCTAATGATGCCGAAGAAGAGAATTAAAAAAATAAGATATAATTTCTTTAACGGCCATTCTTCATGCCCATTGAGTGGAAACTTTATAAAGCAGATACGGGATATCTTTATACATTGAAATCTTGTTTATTTGAGAACTTATAATTAAATGTGACCTTTAAATGGCATAAAGACTTGAAGAGAATTCCTAGCATGTAAACAAATTTAAAAATTAAAACCTTTATTGATTTTAATCTAAAAATAAAAAATAACAAGTTTTAATAAGTGTTGATAACAAAGTTTGCAAGAAATTTTTTTTATATTGTGTTTGATCTTAAATTCGTTGACAATGATGTTAACACATCGCATATTTATTTGTCACAGTGTAAGATTTTTTTTATGTGAGAAAGTGGCAAAGCTGGTGGTTCACCTGATGTTAAGTGTTACAATTAGTGGGCCCCGGATACCTCACTCACCAGACAGATCGCAGAAGTGTAACACTTCTACTTTACGCCGATCTTCTGCGAGGTTGTGGTACATACCCGGAGGGACCTGCCCATTCGTACACAGTGAACTCTGTTGCGTGGTCCTAACACAGTAAAAAAAAAAGATGTTGTGACCAAAAGCTATGTTGGAAATTGAAGAAATGTACTCAATTTTTAATAAGGCGCTAACCTAATTATTACTCATTTTTAGGTAGCATTGATATATAGCAAAACAAAGGAAACAGTTTTTAGTAAATAACAGCACAATGAAAGAAAAACATTTCCATGAATTACACTCATGTTATTAACCTCAAAGCACATCATAAAACCTGTTATTACAAGGATATTGACACAATGATTTCATTTAGAATTATAAATGCAATGAAATGATACCTTGGCATAGAATCAACGCAAAGCTAGAAAACTACCTAGTCAACAGA